TCACCTGGGATAAGCCAAACAAACGGCAGTAACATGGACTCTGATTGGCGCATCTCTTGTTTTTCATCCATTGTCGAATATGTATTGGCTAATATATAGCTGTACTTTTCTCCTTGTATGAGTCCTTATTGGCTTAGTTAGGCCCAGGTGAGGGATTCTATCACGCAGAGACCATTACGTATGGACGGGAGCTTTATAAAATGAAGCTTAAAAACGTTAAGGATATACTTCGAAGTACTACGAAGTACTAGTACTGTACTAGTTAGTATATGTACCATGGTTAAATCGATTGTACCACTGTTTGCACCACTGCTAACAACAGGTCACGCGTTACGTGTCAGAACAATTCCCTGATTACAGCAAAAAAGTTCTACCGTAGAAGTGTTACTCACCGCGGTATTCACCCATTTAACCGTGGAATATATCCTTAAAGTTTTTAAGCTTACGGTAAGTATTCAGCATTCCTTACAGTTAACGATTTCCCTGTCTTGCCATGTACAGTACCCCGACCAAGGTCACACGGTTATCCCTGAAATGGTTGTTAATTCGACATCAAAACACCAATATATGTATTTATAGGTATTTTGTCGTTGCGTTTAACGAGTAATTTCTGGAAAAAGCAGGTCGATCAAGTATGGCTTGCAGTTAGTCGTTAATTTCTGGAATAAGCAGGTCGATCTTGCACATTGATCTGTGTAGTTTAACTTGACGTGCGACAAGTGCCACAACGTTGAAGCGTATTATATTACTTACTACAACGAACTCGATGGAGCTGGTGCCTATTGTCGCAACCAATGCTACACGATCGGATTAGTTCACAAGAAAACATTTCATTGTTTTTATCATGGCGTGAATATAATTTTTTAAAGCAACACATCAAAACGATGCTATCTGATGTTATACTTGAAAGGAAATATAACTACATACCAATGTTGGTCAACTTGGATGCTACTACGTAGTATATTTGAGACAACCACTTACAACATGGGCCAAAGAATACCGATCAGCTCAGACTCAGTTCGCGTGTTCACAAGTATTATTTCTACGTAATGACGTATCATAGAGGTCGCTACAAGCTATATTCTTCGAGTTATTTACTTGCAAAATACGTCGTATTTATGCTTTTTGGCTACTTTGAGGACTCATCACTCATGCTACAATGTTGCAATCGCCTGATATCTAGCTTTGAACGACAGCCTGCAACTACCGGTACCGTAAGTTAGCAACATCTACATCCATTCCCGCATTTATACAAGCTGTCATAGAGAAATTCAATGTCAAAGTCATGTACTTTAGCTGAGAAAGTTGATTATAAATTATGAGTCGTACTTGATGCAGTCTTTTATAGTAGTAGTTTTTAAATTTCTCACAATTCAATGTCAAGTTTACTATAATTACTGAACACTTTTGAGCTGAAGCCACTACACCAAGCGTTTTGTCGCGTCTTGTCGAAAGGCCAATCGAAAGTCCTCAGCCCCTAGTGTGTCTATTAGGTATGAGAAGAGAACAAGAGCGATCGAGATGCTTGGTATGCTGCCAATTCGTTTGAGGTTCGCTGTTTTGGTCATTTCCCGCACCCTACTGTCGCAAGAAAAAGTCATCGAGTACGGCTTGGTCGTTCAATTGTTCTTTGTATTACTACGTAGTACATGTATAGGACACCCACACAAAGGGTGATGTCGGATCTTTCTTCATTTTTCGTTTTCGCTTATTGCCATGACGTTCCTTGCTGCTCTCGTCCTCGCCACCGCCACCTCCGTCGTGGCCAATGTGGTGTTGAACAACCCCGCGCCCGTCCTCGAGGGCGTCTCCATCTACTCAAACGAAAAATGGGCGGTTGGATTCCGCACCCCGGCGTTAGAAGATGATGTCATCCTTCCTGGCATTATACGCAAGCGCAGTCCGTCCCTTGGTTATTTCAAGTTTGCCGTCAGTACGTATGAAAACATTGCTGCCAACGCGTCGATGTTCTTGCAACTAGAGTTGTGCCCTTCCGTCAACGGTAACCAACCCCCCATTTATACACTCATCCCCCTATAGTTCCCCCCTTTCAGATATATTCACGAGAATTTTCCTTCTAGATTTGCCCGATTGCACCGAGCCCACCGCCTCTTCGCGCATCCACATCGATAACAACGGCGGTGGAGTCGATTTCCGTTGGTTCCCCGACCCCTATATTGTTGTTGCGCCCAACACCAGGTACTGGTTCGCGCTGGGCTCCACCAGCGAAACCTCGCACAAGTTGCCCACCTGGTTGTACGGCACAAAGGACTTCTCAACCGCGAACAACTCAACGGGGGACGTGAGGGTCGCGCACCTCAAGGGCGACGGTGACTCATGGACCTTGCTTCCCCTGTACGAAAACCGCGTCCCGTCCCTCCTAGTGGTTTCTACGTATACTAATTAGCAGTGTACTGTTGCTGCCAGCTGGGGGCAATAAAATACTGCCACTTGTAGTCGATAGCTACTGTTGGTTGGCCCTAAAACTCCATAAAACAGTCGTTCATAGTTGCTGCAAACGTTGCTGCAATTTTGTTTGATGCCCTCCAACAACGACGTCAAGATGTCGAACGGCACAATCAATCCGATGTTTACAGCGGACTGTCCGCCGTGGATTCTGGAGCTGCTTTCAGTGTTTGGCCAAGCACTCGACGGACCCCGCCCCATGCAAGTCTCCCACTTGAGTCGAACCACCAAGCAAGCTCAAGGAGTTGTCCTGTTTGCTTTCAATCTAAGTTATACCCTAACCATGTTAAAGAGCATGCTACAGTATCTAATTGTAGCTCAAATGCTCTTATGGAGGAGATGCTCAAATGATTTCATCTCCGCCTGCGAAGTAGTATTGTATGTGCCTAGCGTCGTTGCTAATGTTGCTACAACACTACCACTAGAGTCATCATGTCGAAACCCGCTACTATAGGGTTACCCGTCCTATAGGGTTAACTAAAGGGTTAACTTTAATGGACTAAACTGTAATGGACGGGGGGGCGTTTTCTGCGTGAGGGATTCCCTATCGGACTTAATAGCCGAACTATGGTAAGCTAACCAGAAGCAAGAATTGGATGGCGATACAGTATTTTAGCTCAAGCTTATCGGGCGTGTTCGACTGACAGAATAAAGTTAACATCTTGTTGCACTGACCACTCAAAATAGACAGGTGCACCGTCCATGTACACAACACAATCGCATTTTAGCTGCACAAGTACATCCTTACACTTGGCTTGTATTAACAATAGCATTATTGTCGATTTGATACAAATTTTGGGTGGGATGAGTCTGATTGGCTCAATTTACGAAGGCTCTGTGTGATTGGCTAAAGACTTTTGACAATACTGTACTATTAATAGTACCTACTACTATAGAAGCCATTTTGCACGCCATTCTTCAACCAGCATTTGACGAGCCATGACCGCAGACGACAGTCCAGTCTGAAACACGCGATCGTCGTAGACATCCCAAGCAACACACTCGCAAGTACAGTTTGTATTAGCAGCACCCGGTTGCATCGAACTTGGTGATCCAGCTTGGTGTGCGATCTGCTTTGTCCTGGAAATGTCTTTTGTGTCGTTTGACCCAATCAAATCGTGGCAATTTTGAACGCGCCAATCGAATCGATTTACGAACAATGTGTGGTTTTTTAGGAATTCACGCCAAAATCCAAAATTTCGCTCGAAAGCACAATAGTGATGTTACTATTAAAATAGTAAATACTACTTACGATGCAGTAGTTTGCGCATGCCAACACCCTCGCTTGTTAGTACTTGAGTACAGCAATCGGTTCCCTGCACCACATTTTTATATTAATAACTAGTGAACGTGACCCGGCTTCGCACGGGTGGGGGGTGCGTGTGATCTGAATTAGTGCTGGTTGTGGTTTGACGTGCATAAGTGGACTAATCTAGGATTGGCGTGCATAAGTGGGGTAATCTAGGATTGGCAGTTACACCTCACCTCTGGTGTAAGAAGAGTCGGCATCGTTGTCGAACTCACAAACTGATTTTGTGTTTGGTCAGGCCAACGTGTCTGATGCAAGACAGGCGCGGTAGAGATGGATGTGCATGTGGTCCACGACATCAAGTTCGTGTGATTGGTCACAAATTATCTGTTTCAAGCCAATCAAAACGTTGCTGGAGTGACTGAGCTTTTTCTACGCCGGCCAGAGCGGGCAGCGGCGCGTGCTGCGTCGTCGATATCTTGCCCTCTTCATATGGTATAAAGTATATAGATGCATGCACATGCTCCTACATTGTTGTGCTACAAACGCGCACTAAGTTTGCACCAGTCTGCTAAATAGCGCGGAAATCCAGTGCACTCGCCGTCGTTGTCGCTGGTGGCTGGCTTGCCCATTTGCTCATATCTTCTCTTGTATTGTACATACATCTTCTGTAGTTACATGTGCATATTCGTCTATTAGAGCGCTACAATCGCGCACTATGTTTGCGTCGGACCGCTCAGTAGCGCGTAAACCCGGTGCAATCGCCGCCAGCAAGCCGCGGCATGGCCGAATTCGAACTTTGCCGGCGTGCGGAAAATCGAGCAGGCTCGACGATGATTGGTTAAGAGTAGATAATTAT